AACAAAGTCAGAGTCATTAGTCCTAGTCTGGCTTTTCTGACCCACTGCTAGGAAATATTTTTTTTAAGGGGCCATCAGCCATAGAGTGGTATAGGTGGTCAGTTCTCCTTTTCTATATCCATCTACATGTTGCATCCTACTCTTCTCTTTCAGACAGTTAAAAGAATGATTTTCTTAGCATAGGGCTAGTGGGTCCTGAGTAACACAGGTTGCAATTCCACATCCTTTGTGTCCTATCATTGCTGCCCATTTGTGGAAGGGGTGATGTCCACTGGGAAGACAATTTGCATGCCTTTTTTCTGTATGTGAAACAGGCTGACCTGCATTGTTTTTGAGCTCCATCATAACTGGGTCAGTGTTGTGTAGAGTGCAGGGTTTAGAAATGCAGGGCTGGAACTCAAATGATCTGGGTGACTTTGAGCCAGTCACAAACTTTGTGACCAGACTAGCTCACAGGGTTGTTGTTCTGAGGATAAGATGGAGAGAATGAGGCGAATTATATAAGGCAACTTGAGTTTCTTGGAAGGAAAAAAGGTGATATTATAAATATGATTTAACAGAGGTTTTTCCTTTCTACTGTTCTTAGGGGGATGTAGAATTTGGGGTAATCTTACCTACTACCATTCTGTTTCATTCAATTTTCTCTTCTACTCACCCCATTGAAGAAATTCAGAAGGAAAACCTAGAATAATTCCATTACTCATTAATTCACATGCATGCAGACCTAACTGGTGTGACTGCCTTGTTCTTTCTGCTTTCTTGTTCTAACAATTCCTGTTTGTAAGGTTTTGTCATACTTTATTACTTTTGTACTCTGCTTTTTTATTTTGTAAAAAAGTCAATAGATTTCTTCTAGATGTGACATCATAGCAAACATTTTAGGCATGGCAGTGAATAAGATAGGATACATCCTTCCTGAAACTTGACCTGACAACCTCCCCCTCAACACACACACACTTCATCATTAATGCTTTATACCACTTTGCTAAAGGTGGAAGAATAAATGAAACAAAACATGCATTCATACATTTGCAGTATTAGTATCAGCAATAAATGAACATTTTGTCTTTTGCCACTAAGCCTTAGGGGTCACAGATAACAATGTAAAGTATACTTGCAAACACAAAAGTTTGGACTCTGTACATAGTGCCCCACAGAGGCACTATGGATGTTACTGCTTACGTGCAAATTTTCTGACCCACAACTTAAAGTAGTTCTTGTATCCAGTTTGGAGGGACTGTGGATTGCTAATTCAGTAGTCAGGTTGATACTCTGGGTAGGGTGCAGGGGAGGAGGGAAAACATTAGAAAAACAACCATGCCCTGGGGTTGAGTGTAGGTGAGATCATTGGTGGATATGATGAATACTAATATTATGTGCCTGCTGATGACCACATCTTCCTATGGGATGAATCGGTGATTCAGCCCTGCCACACTATGGGGAATACAATTTGTTGAACCCAAATATAAGGTAGGTTAAATCATAATTGGCAGCAGGCCGAGTGGATTCAGGGCTCAAGGTCCCAAAGAGAAGTGTGTGTGGGAGGGGGAGGGGTGTATAAAGTTTTCAAAGATGAGGAACGGAAACCCGTATGTCAGCACTGCATTCCTGAAACAAAAGCTTCATACATCCATTATATGTTTATTTAACGAGTTCTGAATTCCAGTTAGCTCCCTGAGTGCATGAAGGTGAACAAATGTAACTGGTACACCACTTGACTAGAGCTGCCAGTAGGATTCCACATATAGTGATATTGAGTAGAATATGGAATGTAATGCCTGCCTGCATGTTTAGAGTGGATCACAACAAAAAGAGAGTCAGGAGTAAACCAACGTGCACTCCTCAGAACATTTTGAGATCATTTATGTAAGAGGCATAGCCCTTCCTTCTATGGGTCCTAGCACCTAAGCAATGGTGTTGGCTTCAGAAATTAGGGTGGTTCTACCATGTCTACTCTTCTCCATAGGCAAACATCAACTCTGCCATTATTTTAACAGGAGACTTTTTGGCCCTTCTCCTGGGGGATATTTCACACAACTTATGGGACACATTCACAGTCGCATGAAGGAGGAACCATGCATCAGGTATCAACATGAAAGGGTCCTACATTTCTATAAAAGTATACACACATGGCTTCTCCTACATGGAGGAATCCTGACAGTTCCAGAACTCCCCTTCTTATGAAACCTTTGTAAGTACTTGCGAGTGCTCATGTGGAACCTTTACAATGACCTGCTTCACACAACACAAGAACCCACAATGTGCTAGCACCCTTGACAATACACCTTTGTGTTGTTCAGAAAGACTGGGTCCAGGAAACAAGATAATTCAACCCCTGAGTTTGGGTTTTTGTTGAATCATGGGTTATTGAAACATGGGCTGTCCATTTGTCTGAATCCAGCTGAGATGACAAATCATAGTTTACAACTCAGAGTTCATAACCCAACAAAGTTAACAAGTGCTGGATTATCTCATTTGGGTTCAGACTGCACAATAATTCACATTCCAACAACAACAGGAACCCTAGATAACAACTCTAGATATAGATACTGTGTAATACCTGCTTTGGCTCATTATTTGGCCCACTGAAATCCTAGGGAGGGACAATACCGAGTCATTTTCTTTGCTGTTAATTATTTTGTCTTATAAGGAAATGCAAAGGTTAAATGTTTGTTTTGCCATTACTGTTATTAATGTTGTTTTAAAATGTAATAATGTTTTCTCAGAAGTCCAATTGATTCTAGTAGATTTCTCTGCAAATACTACACTGAGGATTGCATAATTAGCATTCATCTTACTGATTTGTTTTTTTATAACAAACAATACACAAGATGGCTTTGTGAATATATAGGGTATATGAGTAACTCCTCATAAGATACAGTGGTACCTTGGCTCACAAACTTAATCCATTCCAGGACTCTGGTTGTGACCCAAATTGGTTGTGACCCAAGTCAAATTTCCCCATAAGGTCAGTGTAAATAAGGTTACGCTATTCTGCAACTATTTTTTTTACTCACAAAAGTTTGAAGCAAAGTGACAAAGAGCAACAAAGATCACAGCCATCTCCCCTCCCGCCGCGATTGTGTGTGTGGGGGTGGGGGTGGGCATGTGGGGGGAGGTGGGCACACCAGGGGGGCTGGCACATGCGGGGACAGGGGTGTGGGGGAAGAGGGGTCAGAGGCAGGCATGTGCGGGAGGGCGGACACACTGGGGGGAGGTGAGCGGGGGCACGCTCGGGCAGGAAACATGGGTGCAGTTGCGCCCATCTCCCCCCCAATACAAATGCGGCTGTCTCCCCACCCCCACAGCATGATGTGATTGCACCCGTGCAGGGAAGGCAGGCACGCTCACGATCGTCACCCGATGCAGAGTTCACGACCTGCGGCAAATTTTTTCTGCAATTTCTGTTTGCGACCCGATTTGGTCGTGTACTGAGGCGTTTGTGAGCTGGGGTACCACTGTATTTGTGCTGTCTCAAGTTAGAAGTATAGTAGGTCGTTTAATGGTTTTGTGGTTTATAGGCATTTGAAGAACCTGGTTCTGGTTTGCGTCACACAATACTGTAACTGCATATATTTCACATGTATTAAACTAGGTTCATGCTACTTGCTAAAATCTATTTGCATGATGATTTTCCTGGATAAAATGCAATTGCAGTCACCAAGGTTGGATCCAAGAGGCACATGAATAGCAGTCTACTGGCACAATGCATCTACTGCTAATGCAAAGGGACTTTCCTGTCCTTTCTTTCCTCCTACAGCAAACTCCTGCAAACTTCCAACCCCCTGCAGCAGATCTGAGTGGGATTCAGTGCAGGGGGAACACTGCAGAATGGAGGGAAAATCCATTCCAGTAATGGATAATCAATTCTGAGTCCAATCCACATATTACTGTTGGCTTGCTACAACTATCACAGTGTTAATTTACTCACATGCTTGCTACCCACATAGTTCATAGTGAGAAATTTACTTGTATGAATTGATCCTGAGTTTTCAGGTGATAGTGTAACATTTCAGAAATTTAGATATAAAATGGCCATGCCCATAAAAGGTTTAGCGATTCGTGTGACTGCACAGTGCTTGAAAGCACATGAGTGCCACTTGTTTGAAAGTGCCCCTGCAACAAAAGCTACCTGCATTTGAAAAACTAAATCCTAGTTTTCCTGTAGTGATACATCTGTTTCCTATACATGAGGAATTTCTTGAAGCCTCAGTAAAGTGATGTGTTAAAAGTCTCATGTAGGGAAGCCCTTGATGTACAAGCTTAAAAATGAAATCTAGGAGATAAAAGTTATGAATCAGGAAGCCCCTATTTTAAATCTTTAGTCCACTTGATAAGTGGCCTTAACTAAGACACGAGGCAAAGGTCTGTGTGGTTAGTCGAAGATTGGGTGAAGTCAGGAAGCAACTCTTTCCTCCTTTTCCTGCTTATGGGTGCTGCATTGGGGACCTCCAAGTATGTGGGGTAACATAAACATTAAAAATAGCTTCTATAGGCAGTCATGCTGTCTGGGAATGCTAGGAGAAACAGGATTTTTCGTCTTTCTAAAATGTTCATAGGATTGTGCCATTAAACTCAATGCCTACTTTTGCCCCAAAGACCTTCTCAAATGTGCCCTGGGCTGTGAATCTTTATTAATACCTTGACAATTTGGAATGTATTGTAGAAAATTTCAGAAGTTCAGGAAGTTGATCTTTACCTATGGATTTTTTTTCATCTTATTATATTTTACCTTTGGGTTTTAGACAGAATGACAGTAGCTGTGTCTGCTGTACCCTCTTCTGCTTCTTCAACTAGTGTTTGAAGTATTTTCTGATGCACAGTTGGGTGCTCCCAAATGAATAAATTCTTGCCTTTTTCTATTAATTCATATTTATTTATCACAGCTATAGGCAAAATACCCTTCACATTTGTCTGAATAAGTTAGAGCTGGGTGGTGTAGAGGGTGAAGATAAAGAGTATTTTGCAGGCCTATTGAAATAATTATCTAGTAGACAGAGTTTGAACACGTACCATCCATGACATATTTTGTGGTGGCCTTTTTATTTTTCAATTGATAACATCTGATGGATGTGTGTGTGTGTTTTTCTTCCCACAAAAATAAAGCTGCTTTAGGGAAAGACAGCAGACCAAGGATCCAATCTGTTTCCTGTAAGATTTCCTTCTAGCTTCTTGCATTTCCCCCTTGTCTCAGGGATCCTCTTGCCCTTTATGAGCATCAGCCAATTTTCTTGAGCAAAAATACAAACATGAGGTTCTTCAGTGCCATCTAAAGCCCAGCAACTCATCCCTGAATAGGAGAGCCAAGACATAGGGACAAGATAAGCCTGGGCTAGGTTCAGACAATATGATAACCTATACTCAAGGTTTGAATGTGGGTTGCCGTTGAACCAGGAGTTGTTTAGTGGGTTCATGGTAAGCAACTGAAGGTTCACAACCCAACAGTAAGCCTTGGGTTCTTTCCATAGATTGTTCATGGCTAATCTAGTTAGCGCAGCTGGGTTCAGACAGCACAATAAGCCACAATTAAACTGCTACCCGGAGTTCAGCAACAACCCACACCCTACCAGTTATCAACCCTTGAGTGTGGCTTAGCATCTATTTTTGGAGCAGCGAGAAAAGCCACATCTTCTAAAATACCTGTACCTGCAAAACAAATGTATAGAAACTCTCTTCTCTTATGCAGGTGGGCCCCATCATTCTTTGCTTAGTCTGTATGCCTCCCAAGTCTCTCTGCCCTCTCATACAGTACTGTCTTATAAGAATATGAGATGGAATTCTCAACATCTCCAAGTTATATTTATTTATTAAACTTATATCCCACCTTTTTCTTTTAAAGAATTTATTTATTTATTTAGAAAATTTCTATGCTGCCCCATTCGCCGAAGCCTCAGGGCAGCTTACAAATAAATCAATTAAAATACTATAAATTGACAATATAAACTTAAAGCAGCTTACATCATTCTCTTCTTGCAACTCTCAATTTTATCCTCATTCCAACAACCACCTTGGATTGAAACTCTGCGACTGGCCTAATGTCACCCAGGTCACCGTCACCCAGGTCACCAATACTCCATGGTCAAGGGAGGACAACGACCTAGATCACCTGAGTCTCAATCCATGTTTGTAACCTCTACATCATACTGGCTCCCACGTTAACATGCATTTTAAGCAATATATCTTTCCCTATCTACAAGTGGGTGGGTAGTATTTATTCCATAAATTAATTTTTTGGAGGAGTTAAAATGGGAGAATTAGACTTTTAGGTTCTCTGCAATACAGAATAGTGTCTGGTGACATTTTTTTTTTTTTTTTTGCTGTTGGACGTTTCTGATGCTCATCAATGGGTTCGTTTCCCATTTGTAAGTAGTTAACTCTGAACTTGATTTTATTATCCACAATTTTCACTCCTCTCTGTTGTGTAAAGTATTTATTAGCACTTGAAGGGAACACTGTCATTTACAAAGCCAATGATACATATTCCGTGAAGGATCAGATTTAATTGGAAGAGGAGGAGACAAGGTGTGAGGTGTCCAAACAATGTCCTCCATCATACAGATTTGATAATTAGTAAAAATGTGCAGGCAAATTGTGAAAAAGGAGGAAATTACGTGAGGTGAAGCATTCTGGCTTACTGGAAACAAGCCTGCAAGTGTGAACCTCACAAATTTATCAAGAATATACAGGATCTTACTCTGGAAAATGATATTTTGACACTAGAATCAATATTAAGCTACTGTTCCCAAACCTCTGTAACCTGGACTATAGGTCCCCTACCTTGAGGATCACTCTTGCTCAGCAAGAGATTATCCATCCTATCCAGTTAATATTATCTTCTACTGAAAAATAAGCCACTAGGTAAAATACACCATAACCCGGTTCCTGTTCTCCTGCCACACTACAAATACATAAACAGTGTCATCATGCCTGTCCCTTTGCCTATGAAATCAGGGACAGATTAAGCTATTTTCTGAAAGATGACAGTATTTCCAGGAGTCTTGCATCTGTCCCCCAAACTGAAGATGATCCAAGTGCATCTATCTTCTTTTGGGACTGTCTCACCGCTGAGGCAGAGTCTGCTCTGTGGAACCTTCCCAGTTGGGCAGAGAGCAGTGGATTCCTTTACAGCAATAATTTAACTTTTCAAGACACACCACTGGCACCCTACTATGTTCTCGCATACATTTTGGGAAATCACTGTCTCAACTGACAAGAATATAGTTGAAATTCATGTATTCATGAATATCATATAGTTGAAATTACAAAAGTAGATTATTCTTTCAAAAAGTCTTTTAGCACTTTTGGTACAACTGATATTTGTGAAAGTAAATATGTAAATAGATTAATCATCTCTTTAGTAAGAGTTTAGGGGATTATGTATGTCTCCATAAATAACTTGGCACAAGGAAACCATATCACAAGTATGATCATCAGTTGCATATGTTTGTTTTATATTTAAGGACTATTTGTGTAAAAATAGGCAGAGGACATAGTGTGTTGGTTTATCTTTAATATGTGAAATGCAAGGAAAATACCAGCTGGCACATGAATATGATCCAGGTGAACAGAAGCCAAGAAGGAAAAAAATGGGTGGTGAATGTGGACAGCTTGAAGGGCATAGTCTGAGAAAACTAATATAGTTAACAGCATCTTTGGTTCTTAATTGTCAAGATAGTTATTTGCCTTGCATAATTATATTAGTGTATATAACTATATTCTCTGCTGTGTACTACTAATTCAGTCTGTGTATTCATCCAAAATATGACAAAACATATCAGGTCGGATGGGTGGACAGATTGACAGTGACTGATCTACAGGTAGGGGACTGTACAGGAAACAGAACCTAAACACATATAAACTGCATGTATGTCAGCTTGCCTGAGCAGGCAGAGACCCTGCTTTTTGCATTATTTTCAATTATGTAGAGCCCCACATAAGCATGTGAAGTGCATTGTATGGCTCCAGATTTCAGGAAACTATCAGCAAGATGCTGCCAGTGCCCCTGCCCCCCGGCCCCCCATGCACTCTTCATTGCCACTGCTGCTCAGTGATCACTTGCCACAGAGAAAAGCTGTGGAATAAGCAATTGGCTCTCTGTCCCCCACTCTGGGCTAGAGGGCAAGTAAACAGTGGACAACAGGAAAGGGCAAGAGCAGTGGAACCAGAGGGCATTTGGTTGGAGCATGGTGCTCAGTGGGTGCCCAGCCATGTTGACCCTTGCCCAGGACTCTGTTCAGATAGTCTACTATGTGTTCTGTCCCTAGCTAGAGCAGGGGTGGGAGCTGCCAACGTTTAAGGGTGGGGCCTGCTTAGTGGCCCAACCTAAGACATTGATACAAAGATTGATGCTGCACCCTTCTATTCTGTGTACAAATGCCAGCTGCATATCGCCTAGCACTGACAAGGGGATTGCATCCCCCAGAGCAGCTAAAAGCAGTAGGGTAGCTTAAGAAGCACAGGATAGCTCACCCAGCTCTCTCCTCCATCTTGTTCCCACCTCCTGCTACAAGAAACCACCACTTCTCTCTGTCTAATGACAGGGTAATCTCTGCCTGCTTGTCCTTCCACACACATGCACTCACAATGTGTGTGCATGTTCACTCTCTCTAGATCTGTTTTGTGAAAAGAGGGATAGTGGCATGAACAAGTGCTTTGGTTATACAAACTGACCCTTTTTCGGTACACTGGGGCACTTGATGTGACACTAGATTCTGATTAATTTGTGTCACATGCCACTTACTTGGGTGGGGACTAATAGTGTTCTCCTCCACATCTTGCATTTAGTCAGAGAGCAAGAGAAAATAATGCTTAGTTTAGAGATGCTGAATAAAGCTGATAAAGATTACTGTGAGCTTTCTGCTGAGTACTCCTGTTTTGTTTTTGCACTGTTACTTATGCAAATACTTGCTTCTTACCTGCTTGTAAATAAAGAGTACAATCCAGAAGGCACAACAGGTCTCCAGTTCTTTCACCTCTTGAGGAATCTGACCCTTGGAGCTGTCCTGAAAAAAATGGAGAATACAAAACAGTTGTGACCATGAGCCAGCAGTGTTTGAAACATTTACATGCAATTCAACCAACCAATGGACATAAATGTACCTAACTATACAGTAGATTGTTACTAATGCATATAAAAGGATATTTGCAGAATAAAAGCTATGGAATCATGACTGACAATACAAAATCACAACAGTAGAGATCTTTTACTTTCTGTCTGTATTCGGTGAACAAATCACCTAACCCTGAGTGCTCCGTCAAAGTATCTGTGCCAATTATGAAACCTCCAACTCCCACTACCATTCTTGCTCTACCCATCCCTAGCCATTGTCACTAAAAGCCGCTTAAAGAAAAAAAGTCATTTTGCATGCTACATTGTGTGATCTCACACCACTGGGGAGTATGTGTAAACGTTCTCACCTTGTATGTGGGGCTCCGCTAACACGTTCCCTGCCTCCCTTCTTGGTGGGATGCTGATTGGATGGGTGGGAAAATGTACTCATGGTTGCAGTATTTACACAAATCATTGCCATGTGATTGTACCACAGGGAGGTAGCTCCCATGAAAACAATGAATGAATAGCAAAGAGGATCTGAGGCTTGGTCTTTAGAAAGATCTCCATAAGAAGGGAGCTTTAGAAATACCAGAATGCCTCTTTATATCAATATAGGCTGTATTTATGAACAGTTTCCTCTTATTTTCCCACTACCTACCAGGTATGCATTTTTAAATGTAATGTTTATTGATTATGGTGTATACAAAGTATACACTTGAAAGTTCTCAAGTGCAGTGATTTGCCAATTTATTTTTGCATTGCAATGGTACGATCAGGTTGCATGTAAACTCCAGTTCTGGGAGAAGGAAAACAAAAACTAGCTAGCTTACTTATGAAGTTTTTAGCCCAGGGAAAGTAGCAAAATAAAATTTCTATTAAATACAGGTGACACTCCAGTGTGTTACAAGAATCCTTGTCCACCTCCTTGTCCCCACTCAGGATAACATAAAGACTAATAAAACTGTGCCGAATTATGCAAACTAAGGGGAAATTGTTATCATTTTGTAAAATGTATACAGGACACAGTGCTCAACTGTTTTAATATAGAACTTGGACTGTCTAAGTACAGCATCCAATTTTTATTTTATTTTAACACAAAGTGCAAGGGCCAGGACATAATTCTTGGTTGGATCATAGGTTCAGTTTAGCTTAGTTTAGGTGTCAGGTTAAGCTTTTATATCAAGTGTTATTCTGTGGAAAATTCCACAGTGAATGACATTATGATGTCGTAAGTGTTTGCTGAGTTCTGTCTTCTTAACTGAAAGCTAAAGAAATTATTATAACTGACTATTTTGTAAAGGCACATGTATTTATCTGAACTAAAAGAATTAAACCATTATATACATGGACCCAGGTGCACATATTTGAAGTGTTGTACACTCAGATAATCAATTAAGTACACCAGAATGCATTTGTAAGTATAATAATTTAATAGACAGCTTTAATATTAAGTAAGAGTACTTTAAAAATATTTTACTTTCCTCATTGTATACTGGTGGTGCCAAACTACTGATTTCAAGGCTTGCAGGCTGAAAGTAAACAAGTACTAGGTGTTGTGATACATATTTTAACTTGTATTAAATTAGACACTATAAAAAGTATGCTGAATTTACTGTTATTTATTACATTTCTGCTCCACATTTATACCAATTAAGGTCCTTAGAACATTTTGCAAATGAAATGCAAATACAAGCATTTTTAAAAGGACAAAATTATAAGACTAAGAAAATATGCCATTGCAAGCACAGGAGGCAACATTTAAAACTAATGATTGGCCCTCAGAAACCTACATCTTGAAATCTAGCAGAATAATTAATTGTCCTTGTACAAAGCACCATCTGAGTATATCTGTTAAGGCTTTTTCTGGGAGAAAGTTCTGAAGAGAGGAAACCCCCTTTTAAATATCAGCCTTTTTTTCTGAGTGGCTAATCTGAACATGTGTGCATGGGGTTGCAAATATGGAGAAAGATAGCCTATACTCAGGATACTCAATTTAAGCAATATATTCTGCCCTTCTTCGGCGCTTAGTCTTTCTTATGAGGCCTTTGAATTGTGGGGGTGGAGAAGACTCCCGCAACTCCCTTGGACTGCAAGGAGATCAAACCAGTCAGTCTTAGAGGAGATTAACCCTGACTGCTCTTTAGAAGGCCAGATACTGAAGAAGAAACTCAAATACTTTGGCCACCTAATGAGAAGGAAGGACTCACTGGAGAAGAGCCTAATGCTGGGAACAATTGACGGCAAAAGAAGAAGGGGACAGCAGAGAATGAGGTGGCTAGATGGAGGCACTGAAGCAGTCGGTGTGAACTTAAGTGGACTCCGGGGGATGGTGGAGGACAGGAAGGCCTGGAGGAATGTTGTCCATGGGGTCGCGATGGGTTGGACACGACTTCGCAACTAACAACATTCCGCCCTTCTACACTAAAAGGATAAAACATTGCAAATACAATTAAGAATAGCCATTAAAATTGAGATACCTAAACCATAATCTATGAAATACAACCATCACCAGTATTGTTATATGTGGCAATTGGCACTCTCTTATCCCACCCCTCCACAAAATAGAATAAACATGATATTGCATTTCTGACCTGTCTTTCCTGTAACCTGCTCTGGATGGTATCTATAGTCTCTCATGTCTCACACACTGTGATATGATAACCTGAGAAGTTCTGACTAGCCCAAGGACCCCAGAGAATTTTGTGGCTGATTGAGGATCTGAACCCAGGCCTCTCTGGTTTAAGTCCAACACCTTGTTCACTAAATCTCATTGGCTATCATTTGGCATGTCCCAGTGTCTAACTAAATGTATGAAGTGTGTGGCATAGCAACAGTAAACAGCTGTAAGCATCACTCCAGAATTAAGTACTTTCATTGGGAATCAGTTGAAGACTTCCTGATGTTTGAATTCTTAGGCTGATCCATAACAAAGCCACAATTGCTAGTGGTGTTGGAACATCCAGATGTACTCCCAGCATTTTCTTCTTTTGCTGTTAATCTGGCATAACCTCTTCTTAGCCTCAGTTTTTCCCATTTGAATGATGCATGCAGCAATTATACAGTGTGGCACAGAGGGCATAGAAGAGTCACATGGAGAAAGCATACAATTTCCTATTTGCTTGTCTGTATTAGCAGCAGCAGCTGCTGCTGAGCACAAAACTCAAAACAGAAGAGTCCAGGTCAGTGCATCACAGACCAACCAAGGCTATGAAAGTAACCCTTGTTTATTGGTCACTTGCTGTTAGATCCTTTCCCATGTTGTACCTCATGTAAAGGAGGAAGAACCTGCTCATGGGAGCAATACCAACCTCCACCCTCTGATAACTGCATTACTGTGAGGAAAATGCACTAATGAAGCCAGTCTGCTCTGTATTGCTGTATATGTAGGGTATCTTTGGCTCCATTCCTAATCTTTTAATCTGGGGTCAGGGTTCTGGGATTAGTGTAATATGTGCTGCTTCAAAATTTATGAAATGATGCTACAGATGGCTAAATTATTTTGCTTAAATAAACAGTGCAGGTTTTTTTAAATAGCTGCTGTCCTTAATTTCACTTCTTTGCTCCATTCAGGGTTTCAGTTCACTGTTTATCTTTCTTCCATATTCCTTCTTACTACACACCTATTTACGCTCTATTTTGGTTCCCACAATTCTTAATAAGATCGTGCATACAGATGGGTGGGGTAACCCTGCTTGAGCACAGCATTAGGGCATAGCAAGAACAACATGAGAAGAGTCCTGCTCTTACCAGATTACCTTTTGCTGAGGAAAAATGCATATCAGCCTCTGGGGAGAATTACATACTAGTTCCATTCTTTTTAGTACAGTTTTGTTTTGCTTTATAAAATTCAGGCACTTGAAACTATGGGCTAAAGGAAGAGACTGGCACAGGGAAAAGATGCTCTGTAACATTTTTCCCTCGTACCATCTCCCCGCCATAAATCATTCCTTGAGCTGTTTTCAGAGGAAAACACATGTGTACCCAGGTCTTTACCAAGCTCCAGTAGGAGAAATTTGGGAGTGACTTTTTATCAGGATAAAGTTTAAACAGGCTCTTTTCCCTTTCACTGTTCAAATTGTAGCCTCAGATACCAGAATAACTTGCCTATGTTAACTGCTTTTTGCTTTTGGGCAATCCACAGAATATTCTGAAGCTGCTGGTGCTTATCTTTCAAAATTAGAACATGAGTGTGCTCTTGTAAGGTTAATATCTAGTGCTGTGAAAATAGTTGTGCTCCGTGTATCAGTGTTTTACAGGTAACACTAGCACCTGGCTGCTAGGATACTTCTAAGCCAAACTGAAGGTATTGGGAAAAGCCTTCACTTCCTGAGTCCTGGATGTCACAAAAAACTGCCAGTGCTGCCCATATCAATCTCTATGCCAGTTCCTGTCATCTAATTTGGCTCTCTTCATGAGGTGTTAACTGTCAGGGACTAGCAAATAAAGCATTTAGTGCAGTGGTTCTAAAGCTGTGGATTCACCTTTCCCAAGACTTGTGTCCTTCCTCCAGTTGGTTGGCTCTTAGAAATCTTGCTGCCTAAACTTTCTCTATTTTAAAGGGGTGCTCTATATGATTTTATATTTTTAAATGTTATTGTCATTTATGTAAGATGCCTGGGGCTTTAGAAAAGAGGGATATTTATATAATTAATAAGCAAAAGTTTCTCTGCTCCTGCATTCTGTTTCCAACAGCTGCCAGATGCCTCTGAGAGCTCACATGCTGAACATGAAGGTGATGGCCTTCCTGTTTGTCAGCAGCATCTGGTGTTCAGAGGTAGATCACCTCCACATAGGGAGTTCTGTTTAGTTATCATGCCCCCAAACCATTTTGAGGCCTGTTACTCAATTATTCTGCCCAATCCATTTTTTCTTTTTAGGCCATTTAAGGTACAGTGCTGGTTGGGGAATATTAGGATTTTTTTTTTCTGTCTAAGCATGCATAGGATTGTGCCCCTGAGCTAGTGGCCATTACCAGTCTTGTGGTAGGTGACTTCTAGCAGGTCATAAGACCGCTCACAAAGCTGATCTGGGAAGGAATGCCAGGTAAAAGGGGTAGCAACAGAGAATTCTTAAGATTGCTGGAGAGAGCAGGAGACCTTTGAGTGGCTGAGACTGGTACAGTTGGATGAGACTGGCAGAGATACTTTATTAAGTCAAGTAAGTCATATCAAATGAAGAATGATAAATAAAAGGTTTCTGAAACAATAGTGTGATTATTTACAGTTACAAATAACAAATGTTATTAAGTAAATGCCTAAATATATCAATAAGTCAATACAACTAATAAGTTTATTATTTATGAAATATTAATAAACTGATCTCACCCCACAGCTAAAAAAAAGCAGAATGGAGATCCTAAGAAAAATAAAAGTATGTGACCTACATGATGAAGGAAATCTCCCTTTCTTTCCAACCTGGCTGAATGACCCCCTCCACACACACACACTTAAACTGCATAGATAGCAGCCACACATCTCACCTGTGGTAGCCTGTATTTCAACTCTTACCAGGGCCTCCTCACTCAGCTTCTTCTCCAACTCTCACTCAGAAATGTAAACATTGCCGTTCTTCTTTCATAACTTACACATGCTCTTTCTGTAGATGGAATCTGTTTCACAACAAGGAAAGCATAGATATGGTTGTTCATGAACTTCTCCACATGTTAAATGAACACGTGGAAAGGTGTAGGGTTCCACAGGCTTGCCTTGCCCACTACCATTATTGTGTACTGTTTCCCTTTTCCTCAGTAAACACATGAGAAGGTGTTCTTTGCATACACATCTGTACACAGAGAGAACTCTTTCATGCAAGTAGGAGCCCTGATCTGGCAGGTGCTGGCCTCACATGTAGGTGCCCTCCAGGCAGACATCTATGCACACACAGAATGCTTTCTTCTGAACTGCCAAAGGACATTGATCAGGTGAGGAGTAAAGCAGCACACACTTCCGGTGAACATAGGGTTAGCCCATGTGGCTATGAGACCCCTTCATATATTCATTAGGTATGTGGTGGGGGGCATCAAACATTTTGGTTTTCATGGATTACTTCATATTTGCACTCAAGTTAAACAAACAAACCAAAGACCACTGAATTTGGATTTTCTTTCTAGAACATCTCATGCTATCAAATTGTACTTTAAAACATTTTTGGGTACCCTGATTTTTTCTTGCATGCCAGTGCAGTCTCAAGTCATTTGATGCAAACAAATGCAGATGAAGAAAGATGGCTGTTCCTGTGCAACATGCTCTGGTTTTGTGTCTCAGTCAAATGCTTTTCTAAAGCTGTTCCCCCCTCCCAGACTCTGTGTTTTTCATGGGTGGGACAGTGGGTTATTGTTAGCCTGTTAGACACAACTCAGCCTGAATGCCCTTCAGTAGCTTGTGAAGCAAGTCAGCTCGATTTGCATTTGTTCCAGTCACAAAGGTTTATAGGTCAGTGGAGGCTGGCTGGAAGAAAAAATCACCATGCCTCTGCACCATTCTTCTATGGTTGTCAGGAATTCAAACAGGCAGGTTTGTATATTTCTTCTCAGCCATGAATATATGATGGTGCAGTCTGAAGTTGCTTTGTTTCTTGGGAGCTTGGTACCAGCTGGGACTAAGATGGAGGACATGGCTTGATGCCAGCTTGCTTGTCCCTCACCCTTCCCCCTCCCTCTGTGCCTCTCCACCTCCACACTCCTCTTTCCTTTTGCCCATACTAATCAGCAGCTGCTCAAATGTCACTACATCCAGAAGCAGTGAGAGGGCACTGCTCACCTGTATATATTTATGTTTCTTCTATTTCTTCTATTCTGAAGAAAGAACCCAGATGAATAAAAGGCAACATTTTTCATTTTCGTTGGCAGATTTGCAGGTGCTTAATCTCCATGCTGTTGTTGTCACTATGGATTTCAGTTCATGCAGGTTTAGATCCTGAATTGGTTGCTGCTTAGCTATGTGGTGGAGGTGGGGGAAAGCAGTGTTTCAATCTTAAAATGAAAGATAATTTATATTGTTTAATTCACTCATTAATTCAGATATTGCTTTGCTTTTGTTTTTTTGGGAGAAAAATCCTTTAATGATAAAACATATTTTGGCAAAAAGTAATAATAGAATGTCCTGATGTGATGCTTGGTTTTCCTGCATTTTTTAAATTGCTCCTGAAAAGGGTGGGGGAAGCAATCGTGTCTTTTAAATATAGTTTCTTCTTAATTTTAGACCAAGGAATGCCACACAGCATAAGGAATACATGGCAAAATGCTAACCTATTCAACACTGACAAGTCTGCTTCCAGGAGGTTTGGGCTTACCTTTAAATGCATTTGGTATTGCCTCTGATGTCAAAGAGCATTCTTTCTCCTCAGTTGATGTGAGAATATCTGTTTCAGTGGCAAAAATAAGTTCCTCTCCTAGCTGTCTGAGATCTGTAGTCTTCAGATTCTCTTTACAAATACATCAACATGTGCCAAGCCTGGTGTTTAATGCCCCCATTTACATGCAAACAGTGACTCTTCTTTTCTGAATCTACTTGAAAGAGGCTTTCTGCAGAATATGGATTGTTTTTGGTAAGAGGCTTCACTTGGTAGGGAGGTTGTATCTGTAAACTAGTGGGACCCTGGCTAAATCTTGTATTGATGCGTTCATTTGAAATGGCCAAGGAAACCCATTTGAATATATGAATTGCTGCCAGGTTGGCACTGCCTTTCATTGACAGATTAGAATTCAAACTGTGTCTTTAACTCTTCAGCTGCACAGACTGAAAAACAACATTGCCCAAAGAAATGCTCAGGTACAATTGCTTTATTGTGTTACACTGTCTGGGTTAGGCCCTGTTGCAGCAGCCATTTAGGAATATGCTTCATTTATGTATTTCAAAATCTTTTAACAATGTATGCAAAAAAATCTGTCAGAATTTATGGGGAGTAGTTCAAACTTCAAATCTTCAAAACTGGAAACATAGTTTTCCTTTTCATTTACTATTAAATTATTTCATTACTATTTCATTTACTACTATTTAAAACATCTTTAAAAGAATCTCTCTCTCTCTCTCTCATACACACACACACACACACACACACACACACACACGTTTATAGCTAGAACTATAAACTTGATTAATCAACAGTGCAGTTTTGTACATGCCTATTCAGAAGTATCACATTCCACGGGACTTAATGCTCACTTGTGAGTAAGATATTTTGAACTCAATGTGACTTCTGAATGGACAGGTACAGGACTGTAATGTGGATAAATTGATGGAGAGCAATTTTAATTGAAGAATTTGAGAGTTAGGATCAATCTTCTTTATTTTATTTAAGTGACTTTGCTTGTGCCATATAACTGTAATTTTTGAGACCCACAAAGAAAATAGTAAATGTTTGCTTTTACTTGCAACATAAATAGTAGCTTTTATTAATTAAATTGTAAGTTGTCTTGTATTTCCATTAATCAAAAAGATACTCATGCTGAAGGATTGGTAATATGATAATTAATTTACCTTTAATTTATTCAATAAAAAGACAGATTATTAATCAAGTAAAAATCCTTTAATTTGTGGATGGCTCTATTTATAAACAACGCAAATAATTTGCATGAGGGAGCAAGTCTATTGATGTTCAGACTGAAAAAAAGTCCTACAAGTCCCACCACTCCGCAACCAACCTGCTGGGGATTGTAGGAATGATGGGAACTGTGTGATTTTTTTTTTCTATCCAAACATGCGTAGGTTTGAGGTCTTAATGTTCTTTCCCTCTGTATTTCAGACATTCATGAAATCCAACTGAAACTAGGTATATTCACATGTTGCCCTTTAACTGTTGTTCAATAACGTCTGTTGAAAAGTTGCTGCCTATAGCAATCTGGCAATTAATTTCAGATCAAATTAGATTTTATGTTTAAGTTTCCTTAATTTGTAGATGGTATTTTTTATGTGCCAGTAGGACCATCATTTATATGCTCTTTATATGTACCGATGCATGTTCCCCATTAAAATGTATCCCAGCTTCTGGAAGGTCACTGGAATGTAATTTAGTCTCAAGGGTTTGCTTTCAGATCTCCATGTAAACCCAATTAATATTTATTCCAATTCTTACTTTCGTCTATACATTGACCAACCGGACAGATACAGGTCAGATAATACAATGATGCTTGGTCACATACATTACCTTCCAGAAGTAGTCCGCTTTCCCCGGTAAATCTATAATGTTCATATTCGCACAAGGCTAGATGTTAACATTGGAGAACCCTGTAGAAAATCATGCACAACAAATTCTCATAAGCTATAAAGAACTGGGAATGCTGAAACTGAGAAGGAAAGGATGCCTGGATTTTGCCAAAAAATGTTCTTTCACAGCTATAAGATTGAAATTTAGATTATAAATTCCTTCAGACAGAGACCTATTTGTTTGCTTATAATACTTTGTATACCAGAATCTATAATAATATATTAAAAGTAGTCTAAGGCTAATTGTTTAAATAATATCTACTTGAAATAGGTGCAATACAAAACAATAGTTTTGAAAATTATGAAACTGTAGGTTTAATTCAAAATTAAGCACATTTAAGACTTATTGTTATCAGAGAGTTAAGTATGTGCTTTTTATCCCATTGAAATCAACAGGATTTAAAGTCCTTGGATCATACATATTTGTGGTTTTAAATTGCATTAAATAACATCCCAGTGATCATACGGTACTAGGCATAGTTTGGAGGGGGTCTCTAGCCATTTTTCAGAAACTATTTTTGTGTCATTTTATGGTTTTCTCTGTATTTAATTGTGAATTGAGATGAAATCTAAGCTGCCAAAGCAACATTTCAAAGGGTCTCATGCACTGAAATTTGAGATGAACGCATCATCATCACCAACCAAAAACCAAGTCCAAAAAAGTAGACATGGAATTTACACATGTGAATGTCTTACTGATGGATTATGGGAAGTATATTTTTCCTAATTCCCTTTACAGACAAACAGCAAATAAACCACTCACCTGGAAGCTTCCACTTACCACCATGCATTTTTATTATGTTTGCTACACTGGCTCTGGCCCAGCAAGCTGTATTTAACTGGTTATCACCAGTGGCTTCATCTAAACCTCCTGTATGTACCTCCCACCTGAAAAGCACCAAAATAATAACAATCAAAAGCCATGTCTGCTGGCCTGTGATGGTCCAGAAAGTGTGGAGACCTGTGGCAAATGCTGCCATGTATGTACTTCACCTTGCATAGGAGATCTCTATAGTACTCTTCCCTGTGGATTGTATGTACAGTATCTGCTGTTGGTTACTGGGTACAACTGGAAGTTCTCTTTATAGAAGTCATCCTGGAAGTAAAAGCTGCACAAGTTATCTTGCCACCTGTGGCAGAAAATCCTGCTAGGTCATCCTTTCCTCTCTGGCTGTAATCATAAAATAAATATCAGTTTGCTGCCCTTTCATTACACTCCAAATTCTTTTGCCTCAGTTAATCACCTCTCTGAGCATAATGGCCAGCTCTGGCCACCATGGAACTTGTGGAGCAGGGATTCCTGCTAGTCTTCATGTGAGTTATTGGTGCTTCTCTTGGTTATAAAGCTCAGTAATAATTTCTTTCTTGTCAAGATAGAGAGTGCAGAATATTACATGTACTGTTGTAATAGTAGCATTGAAATTATATTATGTATTCCTGCAAACGTTTGAATAGTGCAAAGTTCCAGAGGCAGTTCTATAGACTTTAGCTTCATTTAGAACAGCACTTGGGATTTATTGTGCTTTTGAAATATTTGCTTAATTTGCAAGATATATGCAAAGCATAAATCTGTATTCTTTTAGCTAGCAACCAGTTCCCCAGCAAAGAACCTGTGCCACCTTTCCTCCCACTAAGGCTGTATTTCAGTTTCTTGCTAATTCCAGCTAGTAATTCTCAGGTAAAGCTTTCAGTTTACCTACTCCTGTCTGCCCATTTATACTGAGACTGCTTTTTTATTTACCCACATTCATTTGCACATACCACCCTGCAGAGGAATGAGTTGGATATCCCAGCCTTGCAGGTGAATTGCTAAGTCATGAAACATGAAGGAAGATTTACGTTGCAAACCTATATCCACTTGCTGGGGAGCAAGCCCCGTTGAGCACAGAGATACTGACTTCTGAATAAATAGGTGAATTCGTAGGACACAGTAACCTTGCCACAACCCCATATTGTGGGTTGTTCATGAAACAACAAGTGGTGTGCTCAGCAGGTAATTGGACTCACTGTGGGTTGTCCCCCACTTACCCCTGGTTCTTTTGTGGATATCCCAGGGACTCTGCACCAGGACCTGTTTTACCTGCACTCCTTTAGTCACTGTGATGGCTCACTGTGACAGCAACCTTTTGAAATATTTCAAACCACACAGAGCATACATGGTTTTATAATTATTCTTTTAACAATTCCTTCTAAATATAGTTTTCCCCTAATCCAAGAAAGATGCTAGTATCATTGTGAGTTGAAGCTATATGTTTAATGGGTATATAACACTCTGTTGTTAGTTGCAAAGTCGTGTCCGACCCATTGCGACCCCATGGACCACATTCCTCCAGACCTTCCTGTCCTCCACCATCCCCTGGAGTCCACTTAAGCTCACACCAGCTGGTTCAATGACTCCATCTAGCCACCTCATTCTCTGCTGTCCCCTTCTTCTTTTGCCATCTGTTGTCCCCAGCATTAGGCTCTTCTCCAGGGACTCCTTCCTTCTCATTAGGTGGCCAAAGTATTTGAATATAACACTCTCTGGCCCTTCCTAAAGCATCATCTTCCAAACTGGGGTCCTTCACTTCTATTAGACAGCTTTTACCTTTCCCGGTAAGCTTGGCCAGTGAACAGTATCTGGGAATGATGGGAGTTATAGTCCAATATGCTTGGAGGGCTCCAATTTGGGGAATGCTGGGGCACAGTGTCACCATATTGGAGTGAGGGATTAGTAGAAGAACCATGAAGCAAGGAAATCTGACATGTGCCTGTCAAAAAATGTGTTTTGAAAGGAAGGTTGAATTTTGACCGCTCTCAAAACTCAGTGCCTCCACATATGGAACAGCTTGCACTTTTCTACACTCTGGAGTACCCAAAGATTAAGGAATGAATAGAAAAGGTGGATACCATGGAGAGCAGTCAGGTCCAACAACAAATCTGCAAGAACTTGCAGGGATCACGTGAACCACATCAGTCTGTATAGAATTTTGACAGATGAGGCTAGCCTTTTCCAAGCAGGAGCCTGCCAAATATATTAAACTGCAACACCCATCATTCACAGAAATTACTCAGGCCAAGCTGGCTGGGAAAAGTGAGGACTGCATCTAATACATCTGAAGGGCACCAGTTTAGGGAATGTTGCTATATGAGGAATCAGTGTGATAAATTCACATTGAAAATACAGCCCCAATTTATAGTGGTATTAATGTCTTTCTTAGTTTAGAGGCAACCTGTCTTTGCAAGTGTGTTCCAAAAAAAAAAAAAAATCTCAAGCCATACTTGCTTTCTGTGGTTTGGATTTTTTTTTTTCATAATCTCAAGCATAGCTTGGGGGGAGTGGGGGATATAGGCTCCTTCTAACTAGCTTTCGATGTGGCAGCAGATCAAAAGAAATATTTAAGTGTGATTCAAACAGCATCACTTTCTTTTTCTCACAATATTTTTCCCTAAAATCTTTTTTTTTCTTCATGGCCTATTGAGACAAGGGGCGTATTAATTGTCCAATAACCATGTCATATATACAATTATAAAAAAATCATATTTCCTTCTTAATTCATGTTGACTTTGCCATATATGATACTCCAAACTCAGAAGCAGCTTTTCATGGCAAATGTAGACTCCTAAAGCAACATCTCCAGACCATCTTATTTTCTCTTGAGAAACCTGTCTGCGGGTCAAGAAGCAACAGTGAGAACTGGACATGGAACCACTGATTGGTTCAAAATTGAGAAAGGAGTTTGGCAAGGCTGTATACTGTCACCCTGCCTATTTAACTTATATGCAGATGAATAACAAGTTGGAAATAAGATTGCCAGGAGAAATATCAACAACCTCAGATATGTGGATGATACCACTCTAATGGCAGAAAGTGAAGAGGAACTTAAGAGCCTCTTGATGCAGGAGAAAGAGGAGTGTGCAAAAGTTGGCTTGAAACATTAAGAAAACTAAGATCATGGCATCCAGTTCTCTCACTTCCTGGCAAATAGATGGGGAAGAAATGGAGGTAGTGACAGATTTTATTTTCCTGGGCTCCAAGATCACCACAGACGGTGACTGCATCCAAGAAATTAAAAGACGCTCCTGGGGAGAAAAGCTATGGCAAATCTAGACAGCATACTAAAAAGCAGAGACATCACCCTGCCAACAATAGTTCATGTAATCAAGGCTATGGTTTTCCCAGTTGCAATGTATGGCTGTGAAAGCTGAAGAATTGAGGCCTTTGAATTGTGGTGCTGGGGTAGACTCCTGTGAGTCCTTTGGACTGCAAGAAGATCAAACCAGTCAGAGGAGATCAACCCTGACTGCTCTTTAGAAGGCCAGATTCTGAAGATGAAACTCAAATACTTTGGCCACCTAATGAGATGGAACAACTCATTGGAGAAGACCCTGATGCTGGGAACAATTAACAAAGGAGAGGGAACGGAAGAGGATGAGGTGGCTAGATGGAGTCACTGAAGCTCACTGAGATCTTAAGTGGACTCTGGGGGATGGTGGAGGACAGGAAGACCTGGAGGAATGTTGTCTATGGGGTCATGATGGGTCGGATGCGACTTTGCAACTAACAACAAAAACAAAGTTCCATCTATTGCAGTTCATTTGTAGAGTTAATCATTTTGTATCATGATTTCTTGAAATAAAAGAAATTCTCCTTCCCTTTCTAGTCCACACATCTATCTCTATTCACAAACAGATACACCGTTCCTTAAATCCCTTTAAGGGTGCACTTTCCCACTAAGTCTTTGGTCTTTTAGTCCTTAACCCAAACTGAAACAAACTCTATTTATAAATATATTTGCTCAAATCTACCTGTGGAAATAGCCTTTTGGGTAGCAATCCTTCCTCACATTCTGTTTTGCAAAGCAGTTGGTTCATTGATTCCTCTGAAGTACTGCATCATGTAGTATAATAGCCTGTTTTGAAAAATGAAGGTGGGGCTTCAATGGCCATCCACAAATGACTGTCTCTTTCAGTGGGATGCATTGCTCAATCTATCACTTTTATTTTATTTTTTACTCAAATTTATCTGTTGTTTTCTACAGAGGTATCAATGTGATGAATGTAAAATGCAGTGCCATAGAAACAGTAATAATACAACAATAAAAACCAAGGGGTATTCAACAGTAAAATTGCACAAAATGCTTGTGTACAACAGACCATAGGGGGCTGGTCACACTTCAGCAAAAGCCTGCATCCAGAGATGGGTCCAGAGAAGACATCAAAATGTCAAAACTGGGGGCGGGGGGGCTGTCTAAAGACACATGGTAAAGCTTGCTGCGGGGTGAGTGCTGCCCCGCTAAACTGTCTACTGAAACTATCTAGTTCCTGTAGTGATCTTCAAGAGTATCTGGCAAACACTCATTTTCTGGTGCTTGTCTTGTGAGATGTTTACCTTATTTTTTTTCTTTCTTGCCTTTGGAGAGAGGTTGACAGTCTCTAGAGGAGAACCCTGAGTAGCATCTTGATTCTAAAGCACGTGCATGCAAATGCATGCTCATGGACACAAAAGGTCATGGCTTCCCTTCCAGCTTCCAGCCCAATGACAGACAGAAAATGTTGTTGAATGTGTTTGAGTAGCAACTAAATGTGACCAGATCCATTGTGAAATTAAACATTTAGTTCAGCATCCTTTAGGTTTTTTAAAGTAAACTATGGTTATTGCTTTAATATACAACAGCTGGAGAAGTGCTTTCAACAATGTGCAAGTGAAGGAGTGCAACTCAGGCCATGGAGTTTGCTGTGAGAATACAGAACCCAATTATCCCTTCCCCATTCCATTATTTTCATGTATGGAGCATTGGTGGGACATCTGTCCTCTGTCCTCACTAGTTAAAAGGACCCATGAAGGAAAGATCCAGGTGAGCTTCCGCCAGCTGGACAAGAGGGTCTGACTCATTATAAGGCAACTTTGTCTCTACATAGTTGTGACTAATTTTTGTTGAATTATGCCCAATAAAAATAAGGCATACAGACATACAGCAGTGTCTGTAGAAACACTTAGGGCACTAGCCAGATAGCATTTATCACACAGCAAATAATGTCGCTCTGATTATCAGCCTTTTTAATCTGCACCGTTGTTGTGCTTGCTTTCCCCCTTCCTCAATCTAAAGC